TTTTCTTCGTTTCGTGAAATTTTCGAGAGAGATTTTTTTCGACGGGAAAATCTGCGTTGGATCTCAACACAGAGCCAGCTGGAGAAACGAATTGATCTCGTCATTACTGCGCGGACATACGTGTCCCGGAAAATATTCATTATCTGCTGTTGGTTTTGTATTAATTAACTTATTATTAATTTATGCCACTTATTAATCGTTACACGGAGAATAATCATTTCGGGGGGAGAGCGAGTTTTACGCTGCGTCCTAACAAATAAATGAATACACAGGGTGTTCCTCAAGTATATTGTCCAATATTGTAGGAATTCATTTTCCAAGTCATCTTATAGAGAAAGTTCACACGAACACGTCTTCATTTCTTCATAGAATGACCTCGAAAGTCAACTCCTAAAATATTGGACGGCACTTAAAAACCACGCTATATTTACTTACCTGCCACGACAATATAAAATTTGCCGTCTCTCTAAATTATTATTCTCCGTGCTCTAATATTGTTGTATCGAACGATAAGTTATAGTCCCTATAAATAAATCGATAAATAAATAAATAATTCTTTGACAATTTACAAGTCGCAAAAGAAAAATAATTTTAATCGTTAAAAAAGCATTCAGAAGTGAAAGAAACAAGACGCGCTTGACGGACAGCTCATTATTACTATGGCTCGTCAGTCCATTGTAATATCATTTTGATATTCCGTGGATCACGATCTTCTAAGAGAAGCGATATTGCGAAGTGGCAAGAGAGAGAGAGAGAGATAGGAGAGACCGCGGCAAAAAACTCGGCGCCGCAACTTCTCCATGTTCTTACGCTCGGTAATTAACCTTTGCGATCGCGTTGAGCGAATTATCGTCATAATTATTCTATGCCAGGCGAGGCCTTCGCCTCGCTCGATCGTTCGTCATAGTATCAACGTACATAGCCGACGCGTGACGTCCGTTAAATGCTGATGAGCGAGCGCTGGGGAATTTCCTAATGCGGAGATAACGCCCGCGATGCGAATTCTCGGCCGGTCGACCGGATGGCTGGCAGGGCGAGAAATTCCCCGAGAGCTACGCGAGCTATCTAGCTCGCGCGACTTTCCCGTTGTTCCCCCTTTCGTCGTTAGATTAATGAGCACATTATGATAATTCTTTCGCCGAAAAGAAACCGGCACGCGGCTCCCCGCGCACGGAAGAATGCGCTGTCCGGCGCGCTTCCAAATCGGAGATAATGTGCGGAATTAGTCGCTGATAAAGGTTGCCTCTCTCTCTCTCTCTCGTCAGCGGAGCGTGATGTAATTAAATCACCCTATAATCTCACATTCCCCCTTCTCCCTCTCTCTCTCCGTGGCAATTGTCACTCTAATGATCATTATACTCGCATTGTTGCCCAGAGGCAACGAAAACGTAGAAGAGAGCGCAGAAACGCGATTAGGACGATGAGCGCGCGACCGGTCGGCCCGTCGGTTGGCCGACGCTAATCACCATCACGAAAATCGCGCACGTCGTCGCGCCTGTATAGTGGGGCTTGGATTCTTCTCTCTGTTTGAGAGAGCAGGCGCAGACGCGCGATATCTCTTCGCGCGAGACCTGTTTGTCGGAGCGTTTACGTAACTGCAGATAACCGCGAGAAAACGGTTAGTCAGATAAATGTAATTCCAGCGCGCGCGTGTGTATGTGTGTGCCAAATCGCGAGATTCGCACAGTCCGGGTGCGATTGGTCGAGAGAAATGGGTCGCGACGTAACGCACTGACGCGTCGGCGACGCTGGGTTTTACGATACTTAAACTTTTTACTATATTTAATCGTTTGATTTTAATCCTTCGTGTCGCCATTGATTTGGCAGATTCTTAGGACGCGTCCGTTTGAATTCACGTTCAGAGGTGGATATGGATATTTCCGGAAAAAAGTAGCGAAATTCGAGAAGTAGGACAAGTATCCCGAAATGTCACAATCCCGGAAACTGAATACCGGGATATTCTTCCGAAATATTGTAATCGTTTCGTACAATAATAACTTCGCGAAATAACTTGATTTCCGTCCGATATTTCGGGAGATTATCCCGGTATTCGGTTTTCGGGATGTTGTCCCGTTTCTCGAATTTCGGGATTTTGATTCTCCGGCATTACACGCAGGTCCATCCATTCCAATCTCGTAGAACTTCGTACGGATTTCACGATTATGAAATAATGAAAGATTGAGTCAGATTTGTGATCTACCCGCAGACCGCTTCATATCCTTTTAACGCAATAACTGTACAAAACGGATTTGGTTTGGTAATGCGGACGGGGGAAAAAAATTGTTTGCTGTCGCACATGCGTGACGCTGGTCTCTTGTGAAAGATCGGTTGCGTCAAACATATGTGACGCTCGTAGCGGACGTGTTAGCAACGCGCAACACGTTCGGCTCGCGAAAGCACAACGTCTGGGAGACGTGGCCTCAACGCAAGAAGTTAATTAAATGTGCCGTGGTTTTTCGCATAAAAGGCCACGAGTCATCGTGTTTTGGCGCAAGTACGGTATGATCGCGCCTGTGGATACGACGTATCCGGGGATGGTAAAGATTAACGTGCCACAGTCGAGACATATCTTCGCGCGTTTATGAAGGAGACGAATCATACACGGGAGGAAAATCATGAAAGAAAGGTGGGTAGTGTGCAATTTGTCATATCCGACGTGTTTCGCGTGCGGCATCGCGGCTCAGCATCGCTCCTCCGCCTCGCAAATTGCCTTACCGGGCATGCTATTGCAGGACATTACAGTAATTCAGGCCTTCCCGCGGTTTTCGCGAAGATCCGCGCGTACGCTCTCTCTTAATGCTCGAAGATTCTCTAATCTTCGCCTCTGCGAAGTTCACACAGGCGTTTTCCCTTCCTACGTTCACGACTCGTCGCGAATCGAATGCGAGAGCCGACATGGTATGTCGAAGACGTTCGAAAAGCGGATATTTTCGACATCAATTCCGACCGGTGGACGTATTCTGTAACTTTTAATAATAGTGTCGTTACGTCGTCGTTGCACAAGAACAACATATGATGAGGAAAGTCGACAACTTAACGATAATTAAATACGTTAAAAGTGATAAATAAATTATAAAATAGAGTTACTGGCGCCCTGGACGCACAGCGAACGCTAAGTACGCTGAAGGGAAAGTACACTGAGGAGAAAATACTTGAAGATTTATTCGTGGAATGTAAAGTTTGTTTCACAGTTTGTGAAGTAAACCTTGTATCCCACGAACAAGTAGGTTTTAAGTACTTTAAGTATTTTTTTCTTATCAATACACATCTTTCTCGTTCCAAGTTACGTTTCTCTGATACGAACGTCGGGTATAATGTTGCTTCGGAATGCTTGAGAATCAGAAAGGCGCACTTAGCGTTCGATGCGCGTCCAGAGCACGACCCCGGGCAATTTAGATCAATGATTATAAGTTACAGGCGTGTTCACTTGGGGGTACGCTTCCGATACGGCTGAAAATAACGAAGTAACATTCACGACCGAGCGAAATGGGCGCGAGCCTCCCGGCGAAATGTTTAAATATACACCGTGGCTACTCGCGCTCCCGCGTATAGCTTTATCTAGTTTAAGCTGCGCAGGTTTGCGCTCGTTGGAAAATTACTAACACCGGGTCGCGAGGGAAAGTCGAACGCGACAATCAGCCGTCGCGATCTGGCTGCTTCGGGGCCGGTTCGAAGATTAGATTCGGTGGCGCCCGATAATCCGCATTCCTGTTTCATTTTTCAAGACGGCGATCTAATTGATCGATTCGCCTCGGGACGCTTATGAATACCGATAATTAATTCTCGTGTAATCGCCGACTGATAAACCGCTTTCGCGATTCGTAAGCCTTCGCCGAGGAGAGAGAACAAAAGTCCAAGCGCCGCATCGGCCACGGGGATAAGTCGCGTTCGCCGAACGATCTCGGTTATCGGACGAGGCAAGGATCCAGGTCCTTTAAGGACCTCTGAGGGTCCTACGGAGTTCCGGCAAGACCCACCAGAAGGCAGCAGGTTCTGGCATTTGGTACTCGAAGCAGGAAAAATCCGAGGGAGAGATTTTTGGGCCCGAGAGCGGGCACACGGACCGGTTCGCGCTGCAGCGCCTGTAATAACGTCAGGTCCCATCGCTAGGTGGCGGCACTTGCGCGGAGAGTCCTCGCCGCCAACTACCGTCAGTCCCGTTCCGATCGTGCAGCGTGCTGGATACGCGCTCGGTGTCTGACGGTTGCGTTTTCAGCCCCGAATAATCTCTCCTCGGAAGAAGTCGCGTCTTCTGTCGAAAAAAATGAATGAATTTTCGAAAAGCGCTACGGTCGCATTGTCAATGCATTTTCTTTCACGCTTATCGTTACCGGAAGTTAATATGTTCCGTGAGCAGCTCGATCGTAGATCGAGCGAAATATCACAGAACGAATGAATAAGAGCGAGTGGACGAAAGATCGGCGAAAGCCGATCGCAAGTATCCGCAAAGCTATGTAATGATGAGACTGAGGGACTGGTAGGTTAAATGGTGAAATTAACAAGACGAAGAGTTCTTGAGAAGGAGATCAACACGTTTATTTGATGCTCTCGCGCAGGTTATGCGTCGCTTTTCCTAGACGAATTATAAATTTAACTTTGTTGCACTCGTATAAATATAAATAACGCGTTGTACCACATTCGCTCTTTGTATATACATAACTCATGTATACTGCCGTACGGACTCGCGTTTTCCGGGCGCACGGCCTCCTTAATCCTAAAACCTAAGTCATATCGACTACGAATATTCTTCGCGCTTACGACATACAAACTCGGCTCGAGTTTTACGTACAAGAAACAGAATGGAAGACCTCGGTGATTCTTGTTGCGTAAGGCACTTAAAATATAATATTCGTATAATTTATTTACACCAAATGATCGACGAACAGAAGGAATCGTAACGACGTATTTACAAGGCACTAGTGATAAGGCACTGCCACCAATTGGCTACTGGCCGACTGCAGGCGGACTCGAGGGGGGGGGGG